TATACATTTATTAAGAAAACAAATTTATTTTATAATACACCTTAATATCAACGAAACATGATGTTATAGATTGGAACAAGCAAGTGCCAATGTATGGGGTCCGGTACTAAAACTAAAAAGAGTATACTACTTTTTCTTTGTTTTAGGGTAGTTCCATAAGTATATTATATATAGACAAGTTTGCTACTATGGCAGATGCATTTAGCTTTTAAATCTAGGACAAAATGTGTACAATTTTAGTAGCCTATTGTCAGATGTGAATTATACAATTTTAATTTAAAAAAACAGTATTAGTAATTATACAGTTCAATATTTCAGGTAGTCCATTACATATGGGACAATTTGCAAGATCATACTTATGTGAACAAACAAAATTTAAACTGAAGAAATCAGTACTTGCTGTTCCAAAATGATCCTGATATCATGGTTCCATTCTGGACAATGTTCCAAACAACGATCCATATCTTCCCTAGTGTTACAATATTATGTGCTAAAACTAGACAAGACAAAAAGCAGCATTCTGTATTTTGCAAAAAACAAAAAACTGTTGTATGCCCATATATAGTCATGATATGCCTATATATGGTCATGATGTGATGTCATCATGACCATATTTAGGCATGTCACATGTTTTTGTCAAATAAAATTTGACAGTCTGGACAGGGCTTTATACTATATGCTGCTCTACATTTTTGGAACATGAATACATTGGAGTTAGTTGTCTAGTATTCTTATAACAACTTTATGGTAGTTATTACATCTTTGCTGTAGATCAACATCATGTCGTGGTGTTTTTCCAATATGTGCTTTATTATCTTTATGAGAAACAATTCATTATGCATATGAAACGCCATTTTTTAGGTGAATTTACTATCTAAATGCTGCTATTTTTGAAGATGCAAAGCAATTAATTAAGTATTCTTATAAAACTTCTGTGGTATTATCAAAACCTTTTTTTTTTAAATTTTGAATGATCAAATTTAAAATAGAAGATATTTGAATATTAAATACAGTGTTTTGAGCATATCTTTAAAATATAGTCTGTTTTTTTTTCTGTCAGAAGTTTCTTTTCCATTACATGCAGCAATTTAAAAAAAAACCAGTAAATTATTATTATCGCACCAAAGAATGACTGAATTTCCCTAACCTAACCCAGCAAGTTGTCTGAAAAGATACAGTAATCAAATTTGAGATAAGTTAAAAATAAATAGCTAAAGAAACTGCCCATATTTGACTTTATAAAAATTAAATTCAAAATTTGAATTGGATATTTATTGTATTTTTTTTTAGCCTTTCATTTGAAAAGCACTGAATCTGAAATTTTTTTTTCGGATTGGAAAGCTTACTGAACCAATCAGGAAATCGAATCAGTGTTAAATTAAAATTAGATACATCTCATTATGGTCTGTTATAACCACAACTGATAAAAAGAAATTTATAATAATAAATAAATAACAATAACAAGATACAAGTCAAAATAATAAAATTTTGAGATATTTGTTACACCTAAGGTAGAATCATTCATAAATATACATGTGATAAATAGTTAAATAAAAAATTCTTAGTAAACAAAAATTCTAATCCAGTTAAATTATCTTCAATAACAACAATCAAATGAATAAAAATGTATTAATGATCATGATGATGACTATAGCAATGAATGATGATGATGATGAATGATGATGATGATGAATGATGATGATGATGAATGATGATGATGATGACAATGAAGATGACAATGATGATGTTTCTGATAGGGATAATGTTGATGATTATAATTAAAATGATGATGGTGATAACTTTATATATACAAAACACAAAGTTTATTTATTTATTTGGTATAAAATACTCAAAATGCAACAAAGGTTGAAATACTTTTGAGTTTACAATATGAACAAATATAAAAATATATATAAAATAAAACATCAAACACCACATTTTTTTTTTGTTTTGTCCCCACCCCCAAACCAAAATGCCATGTAATTTTTTCAGCCCCGATCAGGTTTATGATTCTGTTTATAATACAGTGCTGAGAAAATCAACGTTTTTTTTATCAAGGCAGCCAGGACATTGGTAGGGTTGAGGAGTGTTTGACAGGGTTGGGTAAGGTCATCGTAAAGTCATAACAGTGGAGTAAAACATTGTATTGTATAGGCTTACCATAGGTCATATTGCTACATGTCTGAGCAGTATTAGAGTGATATAAGCAAATATCTAATACATTTCATATTTTATTGTAATAAATCTTCTTATAAACAAGTTAAAATCTTTTGTATCAAAAACTCTGTATTAAAGTGAAAAATAATATTTTTTTTAGATCTTTCCTCATTTGGAATTAATAATTAATATAATTCATTTGAAAAAAATGTTTAAATTTGTTATGTATTTTTAGATTTTAAACACAGTTTGAGAAAATGTGATGTATTAATAAATCCTGCTTCTGAATATAAAAGATCTTTCCAATCCCTCTTTCTCTATTCTCCCCTGTGCTCTTTCTTAATTATTTTCAATCATTTTTACATTTTTTTATCTAATGACATTGTATCCTGTTTCTAACCGTCACCATCTCCCTTCTCATATATATGGTGGTGATTGGTCTATATCTGTATGAAACCCATTAATATACATACTAATAATACAGGCCCGTACGCAAAAGGGGTGCGACGGGTGCGTACGCACCTCCCCCCCCAAAAAAAAAAAAAATTACAAAAGGTCCACATTTTCCGGCGTAACAAATTTGAGACACACTCTCACATGCTCCAGAAATCCATCCACCAAAAATGCTTGACCAATCAGAGCAGTTTCCAACTAGGACTCCCTCTAATTTGTCGTACAAGCAAGGCCTTCTAACTGTACTTTGTGTCAATAACTCACCACGTAAAAAACTCATCTTCTCTCTCTATATAGGTTTCACTAGAATTATCTTTATTCCCGTTTAAGTCTGCGAGTGCCATTTCCGGCCCTCTAGAGGTGCCATAATCATAAATTTTCTTTTCCTCAACCCCAACCATGGTGGGGTCAGCTGAGGTGGGTGGACCCTGGCCAATATTTCTGTGAAAGTCCCTCACTGGACCCCCCCTCTATTTCGAACTCCTGAATCCACCATGGCCCCATAGAGTATGTTATAGGTTTTTTTCATTGTGCGCTAAACCTACATTTATTTCTTTTATGTTTAAATTTATTAATGTTTTATTTACGTTGTTCTATAATTTTACATAGTCTATTGACACATGCAGTGAAAATCTGAAACACCACGTGGTTGGAATTGGTCCGTTCCACATCTAGGCTATGTGTATGTCCAATTTGTAGGGATTTATTTTACTCTGACCTCGATTTATTTACGATTCTTAAAATTTGAAAAATATTAATGAACGTTAACCCGTAGTAGAATTAATGACATTTCCACGGTGTTTTTAATTAGATTGATGTAATTTTGTATAGATCAGTTTCCTTAACATATCAAAGTTGACATTCATTGTTAAGCCATCAACATTTTTGACAGACTACAGAACATTTGAAAATAAGAACACTGAATAGTGCGTACGGGCCTGTAATATACTAATATTATATATCAATATACTTTACCTTTAAGCCTTGAAGCAAACAGGATCAGTGACTTAAATCTCTCTTCATTCGCAAAATTACATTATACAAGAAAAATTCATATTCATCCCACTACGACGAAATTTCATATCAAACTCTAATATTAAGCCATTCCCCGGCTGAGTAACATCGCCGGGCACATTCTCTACAGAGTGGGCAATGAAAATCAAATAAGTATGCAACAACACTTTATAACAACATCTTGAAGAGTTCTCTCAACAATCAAATTGAGAAATTATAACATAGCCCTCCAGCTAAAACACAAGGACAGCAGCAATGGAATTAAATCATGAACCTGACAGATGTAAATACAGGGATGCAGAACAGACTACCTTTACAGGTACTATTAAAGAGCCTGGGGGGGATGGGGCCAACTCTGCCCCAGGCACCAAAAACCCTAGGCACACCCCTGCTTGACGTCTCCGTATGGTTATTAATATATCTCAAGTTTAGCAAGACTGAGCCTTGAGCAAGTCAAGAATCTGTATCAACACCTTCAAAAACATTAACTGTACCATGTTCAACTGCAGTGTCCTCAATTGTTAATGCTCTTTTCTTAATGGCATCTTGGTACTGTTCGCTGTTGGGGGTAAAGGAAAACAAAATTATTACTAAATTGATTCCTAAATCCTCCTATCTTTGGTCTTCAAAGGTCAGACCACCATGCATCCCAGAAGCTGTCAGAAAAAAGCGTGAATTGATGGACACAGACAAGCCAGCTCGCAAACTCCTGCGTGACGTGGAACTTGAGATGGGTGACGATTACGTTGTCGATCTGCGAAAGCATTGGTTGGTGAAGGAGGAAGAGCTGTCTCTTATACACATCTAGATGTGTATAAGAGATAGGAGCATGAGTGTACTGCAGAAAATTGGTACGAAATGACTTTATCAGACAAGTTACTAACAGCCATTGGGTATTTGTCAACACACTGTACTTGGCATGCATGTCAAATGAAATGAAAAATAGCATAAAAGGGAGTATTTATAGTACAAACCAGAAAATTACCTTTTCTTTTAGAAGGTTCGGAGATGCTATTAGTTTCTCATTGACTTCGGCAAGCTTTCCACGTATGCAACTGTACATGGTAAACTTAGTCTCATCTTCACACGTTATGCAACATAGGGGTGATGATGGGTTCAGCCACTGACCCCCCTAAAAAATCAAAAGAAACACAAAAAAAATGTTTTAAAAGATTGAAAATATACTGTCTGTGTTAAAATCTGGAAGACCTTTTTAAGTCAAACTTATAACAACACGCACAGATATACAAGAAAGACATTAGCAGTTGGCTAAGGGGTATTCTTCCTGCTTCTTGTGCTAACGCTCTGCTCCACTAATAACCCCACATTCAGGGTTCAGCAGGTTAAGAACAATGTTTGTCGGTTGGAGCTCTACTGTGGCTGCCATTTTCTATTTACAATTATAATGAGGATAAATATTATTATTATTATTACTAAATTCAAATTCTCAACTAAGAGAATTTAATATATCAACAAAGTAAGGTAATTCAAAAGTTGGTTATTGTTTAGCTCAACAAACACCATATATCTAATATATAACTAATTTATTTTAATTATCAAACTCATATATTCCAAATTAAAATAAGATACATCTCATTATGGTCTGTTATAACCGCAACTGATAAAAAGAAATTTAATTATTTTATCTCAATAATAAATAAATAACAATAATAAAAATCAAAATAATAAAATTTATTATACTCATGATACTCAATTAAATTGGGAGAAAACCTTTTTGACTCCAAATAAAAGTACATTCGAATCAAAGTTACACGATTTACAATATAAAATAGTACATCGTATTACTATAACAAATAAGTTCTTAAAATTGATTGGTAAAGATGAAAGTGAATTTCTGTAACCAAGTCGAAACTGTTGAACATATTTTTTATGATTGTTAACATGCTTCTGCAATGTGGGTTGATTTTCAACTTTTTATAAACAGGGAATGCGGAAGCAATTATCAGTTGCGGAGAAAACATTTTTTTTTTTGGTTTTGTTGATCCATCTTATAATGCTTTAAATCACATGATACTTATATGTAAACAGTATATCTATCTTCAACGTAGAATAAAACAAACGCCAATTGTGAATGGTCTAATTAGTTTTATCAAATCAAAATTCAAAATAGAAAAGTATATCCATATGAAAAATGCAACACTGCAAAAATTTTGAAACCAAATGGAGGAATTTTAAGTTTCTTTTTATTTGAATGAGATGTTTTTTTCCTGGGATGCGGTAGCGTGGAATCTGGTATTGTCCGCAGGGGCATCGGCAGTGTGTGGATTGTTCCATTAATGTGTCCTAATTGACTAGAATGATTTCGTTTAAGACGTTTTGTTGACTCATCCAGTGAAGTTACTCAACGGGTTGGCATGGGTGGAAGTCTATTTTTTTTTTCCCTGCCGCAGGTTATTGATGCTTTTTATGTGTCCTGCTGGGACATTTGCGTTTTTTGTTTTTTTTTCGTCTTGTTCTGTAATGTGGATTTGATGTATTATGTTTTGTTGGAAGTATGAATAATAAAAAAAAATAATAATAAAATTTTGAGATATTTGTTGTACCTAATGTAGAATCATTCATAAATATATGTAATAAATAGTTAAATAAAAAACAGCAATGAATGATGATGATGAATGATGATGATGATAAAACTATGATAATGAAGATGACAATGATGATGTTTTTGATAGTGATAATGTTGATGATTATGATTACAATGACGATGGTGATAACTTTATATATGCAAAATACAAAGTTTATTTATTTGGTATAAAATACTCAAAATGCAACAAAGGTTGAAATACTTTTGAGTTTACAATATGAACAAATATAAAAATATTTAGAAAATAACATCAAACACGACATTAATAAAAACCAAACTTTAGGCCCACCTATTCAATCACCATGATCAGGATCAGGCCTAGAAAAACACTGTTTGTGCCTTCAACTATGAAAATTGTCTCAATAAAATGCCTCCTGGATTTCATTGAGACAATTTTTATAGTTGTCTCAATAAAATGCCTCTAGCACTAAATGTTTTTTGGGTTTTTTCCCCACCCCCAAACCAAAATGCCATGTACTTTTTTCAGCCCCAATCAGGTTTATGATTCAGTTTATAATACAGTGCTGAGAAAAACAACATTTTTATTATCAAAGCAGCACGTCTGTCAGGACATTGGTAGGGATGAGGAGTGTTTGACAGGGTTGGGAAAGGTCATCGTAAAGTCATAACAGTGTAAGAGTTACACATTGGTCATAATGCTACATGTCTGAGCAGTTAGAGTGATTAAGCATCAAAATTCAAAAAGCACTTGCTCTAACTTAATTTAAAAATTATATTTGATAAAGATCAAAATTCATAAAACATCTACTGGAGAATAAAATAAATGAATGATATGCATCAGATTTTTATTTTTGGGAGGTACACTTGAAATTTTATAAATACTTCAGTATTTATAAAGGTATATAAAGTATTAACAGGCCTTAGATTAAACATAAAAATAATTTATAAATTTAAACTAAAAGAAATGATATACTGTATTACTTAAGTCAACATTATACTATACCAAAATTTCATGACCAATTTTACACTGGGCAAACTATAAAAATGTTATTGAAAATTATATAATATTTTTATTCACATAATTCATGTTTTTCAGGTTTTAAGTATTTGAGCAATGATGTCATAAATAATTTTCACAATAACAATATTAATAATAACAATAAATTAACAATAATATTAATAATAATAATAATAACAACTAAAACACCATCCAAAAGTGTATACCTCTAGACTAGGAAAAAAATAAAAAAAAGAGGCCTAGAAATCAAGTTAGGGGGAGTGGAATGTTAGAAGCAGTCAATATAGCCAAATATCCTAATTAATCCGTCCTGGTCACCCTAAGCCCTGTTGACACTTGATTTTTCACCTGGTATACAAATGGCGGCCATTTTTCAAAATGGCCGCCAAATTATCTAAAATGTGCATATAGGCCTAAATAAATAAGCTACAGATATGATTTTGGTGTCTAAACTCATAATTTCTAGACAGGCAACAAACTAGACATATAAAAAAGCCAGAATGGAACATAATTAAAAAATAGGTGTTTATTTGTTTAAAAATAATCGCAAAATATACATACTTAAAATGTACATAAAAATAAGAACGAGTATATAAGCTAGTTTTCAATGTAATCCAGATAGATTTTTGAGCAAAAATAGATTTTATTGACTAATTTTATCATTTTTACTGCGCTGAATTCAAAAAAGTTAGGTGCCATTTTTTCCCAAAGTCATCAGCCGCCATTTTGAATTTCAAGATGGCTGACACGCCACATAAAACATGGTCATGATTGGTGTCAATAGAAAGC